GTATTCTTTGGAACCTTCTCCCATTCTTTGATCATAAATGTTTGTAACTCATCTAAATTTTTTGGTTTTTTTTTCTCCACATTTTTTTTTATAATTCCCCATAAATTTTCGATAGGGTTAAGGTCCGGGCTGTTCGACGGCCAGTTGATAACACAAAGAACCATTTTATTGAGAAAATCCTTGGTTAGGCAGCTGTGTGCTTAGGATCGTTATCCTGCTGAAGATGCCAATCATCACCTATCATTTTTTTAATCTCTGGAAATTAGTTTTTTTAGAATTTCGATATAGAACGAGGCATCCATCTTTCCTACAAAACAATAAATGCTAGTTTTATCCTGTAGGCTAAATGCACCTCAAACATGAATTTTTTGTCAGTTCTTAGGAATGCGACGAACGGGACGACTGTTTTTGTACCACTGAGTAATCGTGTTCCTAAACAGTTGGAACGAAGTTTCGTTAGAAAAAAATGTGCGGGACCAATCATTGTCAATATGTTCTTGGGCCCATTTAACCCGTTTCTCTTTATGCTTCTCTGTGAGCATAAGTGTTGTGAGAGGGAGAGAATTCTTGTAACCATTGGCGCAAAGATGCCTTCGAACCATTTCTCTTTCGAGTATTATACCCTTTTCTGAAAGTTTACTTATCAACTTACCCACCGATATTGTAGGAATTCACCTGATAAATTGATCGATTGCATGTATTACACTTGAATTGACTTTTCTTGGATGACCTGTGCCCCTTCGTTGTGTCACATTATCAGTCTCTTTTAATTTTTTTAGGTTGTAATATATTGTAGAGAGGCCGATGTTCATACACTGCTGAATTTTTCTTGCGGAGCGAATTCCTTTACTTCATAAAAGACAAATAGCTTCGTGCTGCTGGTTTTTTTTGAAGAGGTCATTTCATACCATTATTTCTCGCAGAATACATTATATACAAAAGAAGGTGGGAATGGGCAGATTATTATGAAATAAATAAAGTATGATTACCCATGTCAAAAATTCGCTTACCTTTTGTAGTTATGAAATTACGTTTGATAATCATTACTCTAAAAAATTTCAAATAATTTTGGATACCACTGTATATAATTTTATTAATAAAAATATATTAAAAATATTTATATATATATATTTATATACTTATATATTTTTGTAGATAAATTTGTCTACATTATAATTTAAAAAAGATATATATATATAATATTTTGTTTATATTTTTATTATTAAAGATTAATCAATTTAAAAATATTAATTAATTATTATATAAAAATTCTAATATAATAAAAAATTCAAAATTAAAGTAAATTAAAAATTTTTTTAAAAAATTATATACTGTATTAAAAAAAAAAGGTTTAATAAAAGTAAAAGAAACAATATTGTTAAAAAAAAACTTAAATTTTTAATAAAATAGTTAAAAAATAACTTTTTTTTATAATATTTTTTTCTTAAAAAAGATTTTCTTATTATGAATTTCACAAAAAAAACAATTGTTAAAAATATATATATATAAACTTTATTATTAAAAATATAAAAATATTTAAAAATGTTTGTTTTTAAATTGGCAAAAGAATTAATAAAAAGAATTTTTATTTGTATTATTTATCATTATCTCTAAATATAAATATATATATATATATTATTTAAAAAAAATTATAAAAAAAAAGATATAATAATTTGAAAATGGTTTATTGCAAGTGGCTTAGGTCTGTTGAAATGAATTGATGAATGACAAACAGCAAATTCTTAACAATTACTTATTATCTATCCTATTCAAGAGGTCTCAATCAACATAACCAATATATATTTTAAAATCTATTCATGGGGTACATAAGATGCAAATATGGATGGAAAAAAAACCAAATCACTTGTCTTTCATGACCTCCCAGAGTTCGGATCTTAATTCTACCAAAAATTTCTGGAATAAATTGGAACGTTGAATTGTAAATGTATTCCCTTACTAACAAGTAAAATGGAATTATTCAGTATTCTACAAAATTAGTGGTCTAAAATAGCTTATAACTAGAGACAACATCAGACAATGAAGTATAGTCAATTATCGCCAAAATTGATCATCTTCCGTACTTGCCCAAGTTATATTAGGATATTCAAATCTATTCCGGATATTTGTAAACCGAGACGTACGTATCTTGACAACCGGGTAAATTGTTCTCATGCATGCTTACAAATTTACATTGATTAGACAATTTCCAATAAAGCTCGTCGAATCTTTCTAAAATTGGTGTGTTTAAATATTTCACTAGTGGAATCTTTAATGACGTACGACGCATACAGATAATATCGGATGATTACGCTACGGATTTTTTACGTAATACAAACGTTTATTGAATTAAATGACATCAGGAATTGTCATGCCACTTTCGAATTCGTTATTGATGATAGAATTGACTGACGAGTTTCGTGATTATATAAAAAGGGAGGACGTGGATCCTTACTCCTCTAATTTTTTAAAGAAAAATGTTTAGGACAAATCTATTATTAAGAGGGCCGTCATGGGCCAAAATCGCAAATTATACTATCAGGCGTAGTGTAGGCCGCCAAGCAGGTCAAATGTTTAGTGGTAGACAGAATTTCAGCGCGTTAAAACAAGATCGAATCATGATGTATAATCCGAATCCAATAAAACGTCAAACTTTAATAACACGTAAATCTTTCCATAACATGGCTCAGGCAGCAATAGTTCCCATCTTACCAACCATCCTTTTCTCTATTCCTTTGAGCATTCCATATTTCCTAACATTAAAAGTTGTCGCCTCGAGAATCCTTTCGCCCCCCACTCGGACAAAAATAACAAAGTACATTGGTTCCGCATTAATGACCATACCACTGATGTTCATGTTTTCATTTAACATAGCACCGAACACGCAGAGGTACAGATTTATGATCTTGTGGTCGTGGGAGGAAAAAAAATTGTTAAACGCGGCCAATGAATGTGTGGAAAACGTACTGGGATCGGAATCGATAGTGCCCGACGAGGATCCAAGAAGTCAGATGGTTGAACATGTGATAAATCGATTGTGGAGACAGGGATTGAAGAAAAATGAAGAAACACCACCGCCTAAAGTGTACCTTATATTAAATGATGAAACGCTTGATGGATTATCATATCCGTCGTCAGTTATAACATTAACGACGTGTTGGTTTAGAATAATTGGACATGATCAAGATCTACTCGCGGCCTTGATGGCGCATGAATTAGCGCACATTGTTCAAAGTCATGCCTCAGAGTTTTACGGAATTTCATTCATGACCAAGGCATTAACTAAACTAACAAGTATACTTGGTAATTTGACGTTCGTTGTTAATAAAGAATCCAAACCATCAATCTTTCTACAAAAACATTCCCAAAAGTTAGAACGTGAGGCCGATCTATTAGGCCAGGAGATCATGGCGCGTGCTGGATATGATCCTGCGAAAGCAGTAGAATTATGGGAATTAATGTCATTCATCAAAAACTCACCAGACCTACTTGAAAAAAATGACTATGAAGAGAAGGTGGTCACCTTCAGATCTCATCCGAGCGAAGAAAATCGTGTAAAATATCTTAGAGAAAATTTAACTCGATTTATATGATCAATGATTTATATGGTCGAATTATGTTTGCATTAAATGTGAATTTCACTCCAAGCATCTAAGCATCCATCCATCACTCATTACATCAAAACCATGATAAAATATTCATACGAAAAAAAAAAAAGAAACCTGTAAAATTTACACAAAAATGTAAGGATATAATAGAATTCCGTTTTATATTTTTTACAAAAACTTTTTAAGAATATATAATTTTTACAATTCATTCTCACGTGTACTATATTACATTATAACTTCCTATGTAATTAATGCATATGTACAATAATAATAAACCTCGAATCTTGCTTTAGAGTCAAAAAAACCCTTTTTTTTAAGAAACTAATATGTGATTTAATATGCGGCAAAATGCATGTATCACACGCGGACCATGGATCCTTACGGTGTCGCAAGATTGATCATGATTTTTTATTATATCACCATTTTTTTTCGTGACATAAAAAATGATACATTAATGAAGAAAATGTAAATAATTATTTTATATACAGGAAAAAAAAAAAAAAAAAAATCATTAAAGAAAACGCAGCTCTCGGTTGGAATTGCGAGATGATTGGGTGAATTTGCCACCGGAACGAGAAGAGATGAGTTGAATTTGAATTTGAATTTGTCTATGTGTGTGGGGTTTATTTTTTTTAAAGTCTATTGGTAAATTGAAAAAGATTTTTTTTTTTTTTTTTTTTTTTTTTTTTTTTACCAGAAAAAAAAGTTTTTGTTTTTTTTTTTTTTTTTTTTATTTTTTTTTTTTTGGAAAAGGGTGTTGTGGGT